CAGGCCTCTCCATCACCTTCAGTGGCCGCTGGTCACACCAGCCACTGAGCTCTAGCCAGCACAGGGCCCTGCGTGCCAGCCGGCCACGGCCCAGCAGGTGGAGGTGCCCAGGCGCGGCGGTGTACAGCTGGGCGCTGGGTAGGTAGGGGTGTACCGGCTGCAGAGCCTGCGCTTCCCCCAGCTTCGTGGTTAATGTGGGGCAGGGTGCTCTGAGCTGTGGCTCCCCTGGGGCCCCAGGCCCTCACCTGCAGTCGTTAAATGCCATGCACACGCACCACCTGGAGAGGTCTGGTCACTGCCAGGGCCTCCCAGAACACCTCAGAGCTGGACTGGAGCGGGCAGGGCCTGGCAGAGCCAGTGTCCTGCAGTGTGGCAGTCCAGGCATGAGCAGGGCTGAACCCTGGCAGAGAGGGAGACCGCGTGCATAGGAGTCTGGGGAGCACGCGCCCACAGCCACCCCTGCCCAGCTATGGCTGACGTCGAGCTCTGCGGGGCGAGGGGGCCGCGCCTGTCTCTCCAGACAAGTGGGCACGCAGGGGCTCAACTCAAGGCCAGCTTGCATCTCAGGAAGCAGCTGGGGCTGCCCGCCCTCCAGCTCTCGGGGCGCAACGCCTGGCCTCGGCCATTTCACTGTGGCCCCTGGGCCTGCCCATCCCTGTGGTGAGCCCTCCCACGGCCACGATGATGCCGGGCCCTGGCAGAGCTGTGGCTGGGACCGCCAGGGCCTGCAGAGTGGTGGGGGCTCTGGGCCAGCGGTACTGGGGCAGCTGGAACCCTTGCCAAGGCTGCTGGTGGCCTGAGGGCCCTTTTCTGCTTGCACCCCAAGGGGCTGATGCCCGTGGTGCGGACAGCCGCAGGGCTGCAGGTCCCTCCATGGGACCCCGTCCTGGCCCACTTGGGGAGGCCTCAGCCTATGGCTCACCCCCTAGTCTCCTTCTCTCCTCTCCAGGGCCGACTGTCCCTGCTCTCTCCCACCAGGGCCCCTACAGGTCATGAGATGAACCCCCCAAACCTCTGGGTCCAGGAGGGTCTCCGAGGGCCAGGTTCTTACCTCACCACCAGGACACCCCAGGAGGGTGACACTGGGGCTGGGGAACCCTCTTGGCACAATGGCCAGTGGTTGGGAGGTGGGGAAGGCCAAGGACCACAGGGCAGGCAGGGGTGGCTCCCACCTACACGTTTCACAGGCATGGGCTGTGAGACCCTCTGTCCGCACCATGCAGCCAGGGTACAGCGCCTGCCCTGCTGCCACGGGGCCCAGCCTGTGGGCCCTGGGCCCTGAGCCAAGCTTGGAGATGTCCCCGCGCCTCCCAGTGGACCCAGCCAGGGATAGGCAGGGGTCAGGCAGGGGTGTGGGAGGGAGGGCAGGACTACAGGAGGTCGGGGCTGGTGGCCATCCTGTGGGCACAACCATAGACGGTTGGGGCCCGGGCAGCACCGTAACTCCCTGTGGAGACATCCGCTCTCAGGGCACATTGGCCGCCCACCCAGGGGACAGTTCCTGTCCTGTCACGGAGCCCACCTGGGGCCCGGCCAAGGCCAGCGGAGCACCTGAGCACATGGTCCCGGGAGCACTCCCCCATGGCGGGGCTGGAGCTCCAAGCACGAGCCTGCAGGGCAGGGGCAGCAGCAGACAGTCGGGGAAGGCCTGGGACCCCTGGCCTGCCTGCAGGGGAGGGGCACTCTCCTCAGACTCCTGCAGTCCCGAGTCCCCTGAGCCCGCCTCCCCCACACCTGTCGCGGGGCCAGGCTGCCCGCCCGCACCCAGGGACCCATCAGGTCTCACCACTGAGTGTTTGAGGGTGCCAGGGCCAGGAGCCAGGCGGTGTCCTGGGCTGAGGCTTTGGCCCTGCTGAAGACAGGAGGGGCCAGGGCGAGACCGCGGCCGGCCTTCTCACGGGCCCTGAGGTGGGCAGAACCTCAGGTCGAACTTTGGCCCCAGTCTTTCTGCGGATGGTCAGATGGTCACACATGCTCAGAGAGCCTGGCAACCACCCACGTGCTAATGGGGCCGAGTTTCTTCTGCAGTGTAGACAAGGACCCTGAGAAGGGCAAGGTCCGAGGGGCAGCAGGACTTGGGGCCCCCTTTCGTCTCCCCTTCCACCGCACCAAAACACCCCTGGCCCTCTGCACGCCGAGGGCAGCGTGGCCAGGCAGGAGCGCGAGAGAAGCCCCAGGGAGACCCTCTGCTGCCCTAGGCTGCCGTTCTGTGCCAGGCTCGGGCAGGGAGCCCCGCCGACCCAGTGGTGTCCCTCCCCGGCCCCACGCAGCTGGGGGGGCTGTGACTGCATTCAGAGAGAGCTGGAGGAACCCAGAAAGCGCCCATCCCAGGCGGGGGGAGCTGGGCAGCCAGGCCCTGGTGGGGGGCCAGACGAGACCCAGGTCAGACCTGTCACCTGCCTGTCCACACCAGGCCGCCCTGAGAGCTGGCTTCACTGTCGCCCACAGGCACAAGCGTGTGCTGATGTGAGCGCAGCCTCAGAAGGGGCGCGGGGCAGGAGCGATGTCTGGCCCCTGGAAGCTGGCGGAGGGTGCTGGCAAACTGCGCTTGGCACCAAGGCTCTCTGAGGATGGGGTGGGACCCGCCTGAGCGCCCCAGGGCTGAGACGCAGTACCATGACCTGCCTGGGTTACGGACGTTGAGGACTAGAAACTGAAAGCACAAGTCTGCAAAAATTCAGTGGCTCCCTGGCCACCGCTGTGACCGAGGTGGGATGGGGCACAGGGTCCCTGAGCCAGCGCTGTCGGCCTCGGCCACTCACCCAGCTGGCGCCCTCTGGCGGGGCGTGCCCACGAGGCTCCGTGGGGGCGCAAGCACCCCGTCTTGGTCCTGGGTAGAAGGCGCGCTCTCGAGCATCTGCTTATAAACGTCAGGCGGGCCCCACGGCAGACCTGCCGTCTGAGCACACAGTGGCCTTCCGCAGGCTCCCCGTGACTGCCAGCTCGCCTAGCCCCCGCCGCTGCTCTTCTGCCAGGGGCTCCAGGGGTTGGCCG